GGCCTCAGCCTGTTACACCATTCTCCTGTTGCAGAAGAACCTAGGGCTTCATTAGTGCTATAAACAATCACTCTACCACTGAGCTGTAATCTCAGCTCCTGCATTTCTCCTGATCCATGGCTTTCAGTTTTCTGTAGACAACTAAAATACACCTAGGTAGCACCCCTAACCCCAGTTGCTGTTCCCTAATCCTCGTGGCCAGATTGTAGTTTAATTGGTCTGGGTCCAGGCATCAAGGTAAAATTTAATGTTCCTTGGCTAAATCAATCTAGGTTGAAAGGACTGTTGTAGATTGAAAGCCAGGCAGGCCCTTAGGCTTTGGCTGCATCTGATTCTACCATTTTGGAGACATTAGCAGACATTCTCCATACCAGGGCTTTTACATTTTAATAAATTGGGATAACTGTGATATTAGCATATTCTTAAAATGAATTTTAATGGTCAACAGTTTGTAATATAGGCCTTTCGTTGGTTTATGCTTTGCTCCATGTGAAAATGCAATCTTGGCCAGGCGTTGGTGGTGCACGCCTTTAATCCCAGCACTCAGGAGGCAGAGGCAGGCAGATCTCTGTGAGTTCGAGGCCAGCCTGGTCTCCAAAGAGAGTGCCAGGATAGGCTTCAAACCTACACAGAGAAACCCTGTCTCCGAAAAACCAAAAAAAAAAAAAAGAAAGAAAGAAAGAAAGAAAATGCAATCTTTAGCTGGTAATTGTGGTACAAGTCTTTAATCCCAGCACCCTGAGGCAGAGCAGGCAGATTTCTATGAGTTCCAGGCCAGCCAGGGCTACACAGGAATCCAGTCTAAAAAAAAAGAAAGAAATGAAATGAAAATGCAATCTTGATGATTCTGATTTACTTTACTCATTATACATTTTGTTCTTTGTAGATTCTCGGGATTTGAAGATGGCTGCACAGTCAGCGCCGAAAGTTGTGCTAAAAAGCACCACCAAGATGTCTCTAAATGAGCGGTGAGGCAGCCAACAGCAACTTCAGCTCCTTCCTAAGAAAACATTACTTAAGTTGGCCCTGGGGTCCAATACACAAAAACCAGTTGTAAGCTAAATAACAGAAGGCTACAGACCTCTGTTCTTAATTGCATCTAATGTGGTACACAAAAAAATTGGGCGGTTGTTTCAAAACCCCTTATCAGTAGATTTTTATATTAAGCTATCTGAAATATTTGCCTGGTGGGATATATTTTTTGAAAGACTCCTCACACCCTCTTTTTTTTTAAACATTGATACAGGGGTGGTGCAGCATGATGGTATGGTATATCCTGGCTGCAATAGGCTTGCTGCCTAGTCCAAGGCCAGCAGTGTTGTGTCTGGCCTGTAAGAGGCAGGTAGCAAGCCGTGACTATGTCCAAAGGCCCCTGAATGTCATTCTTGGGCCTTGTAAGAGGCACTTGCTTTGCTCCATTTCACTTTCTTCCCATTCTGCTTTTTAGTTTGTTTTGTTTTTAATTCTTTTGACAGCTATGTGTGTTTTCTTCCATTAAACTTAAATTAGAATGTCCTTATAGGCTCTTAAGTGGTTGAACTAATTTAACTTTCTCAGAAGTACTAAGTTAGAAAAACTGATTATTTGAGACAGAAATATTAAGTTATTTAAAGGCAGTTTTGTTTCTGAGAGTTTCATTTGTGTGGTGTCTTTCACCATTTTAACATGTTGCTGCTAGAATTCTTAAGGTATTTAATGTCTGTTTTTGCTTCTAAAGCAGATATACTTCTCTGTTCATATCTTAAGATATGATACATTACCTGTATTCATGTGTTACTAAGTAATATGTTAGAATGTAATAAATTTCCATAATTTATTTGTCTGTATTATTTCAGTGGACATTGAAGGTGTTCTGGTCCTTCCTCCTGTTTGTCCTTAGAATGAACCTTCACTCTTCCAAAGATGTAGGCATTTTTGTCTGTCTTTGTAACTGCATCTATGTCTCTTGTCATCATATTTGCTTAATGCGTGTTTTTCATGCTTTCCACTTCTCTAAGAGCTGTTACCTGAGCCCTTGTTATCACTTTATTGTGCTGCACTTGGCTGCATTTCTGAGTTTCTGGTTCTTGCAAGTTTGTGGAAACAGAGGAGTCTTTAACCCACATCAATTTTGATTCAAATGTACCACTTTAAAGTTCGTGGGATCTGGAGCTCCTGGTCTAGCAAGCCATGAAAATGCCAATAAGTGTTTTATAATAAAGCTTTTATTTAAACACCCATTTTGTTCGACCTTGAAGCTTTACTAATATGCTGAAGAACAAACAGCCGATGCCAGTGAATATTCGGGCTTCGATGCAGCAGCAGCAGCAGCTAGCCAGTGCCAGAAACAGAAGACTGGCCCAGCAGATGGAGAATAGACCCTCTGTCCAGGCAGCATTAAAACTTAAGCAGGTGAGAGAATAGGTCTTGGCAGTCTGTGCCAGGCAATCCACCAAGGCTGTCAGGATATAATGAATGATTACAAGATGGCTCAGGGCAAAAGCTGAACAAATGTTCAAAGAATTACAGTTTGGGCAGGTACCAGTTAAGTAACTTTTTTGTTTTTAAAAAGTTTTTTGTTTGTTTTTTCCGGACTGGGTTTCTCCCTGTATCCCTGGCTGTCCTAGTACTCAACTCTGTAAACCAGGTTGGCCAGGAACTCAGAGATCTGCCTGCCTCAGCTTCCCAAATGCAGGGATTAAAGGTCTGTGACATAACCAACCCATTTAACTGTTAAATATCTTTCTCTTTTAAGGAGTTTGATACCTCTGTAGCCTGTTTGTGTTATCAGTGAAGATTAATTGATTATTTTCTGACCCTTGCTCTTAAAATAGAATTTTTTAAAACCTTTTTCTACAAAGAACCGCTGTTTAGTCTAGGAGTATTGTTAGAGCACTTGCCTGGCAAGCACAAGACCCCCAGGTTCAGTTCTCACCTCTTCCCAAAAAGCAGAGAGTATTTGTTTCAGCTGCTTTGCTCTCTATAAAAATGATTTACAAACTTGAATAATCTTACTCTTTCTAGTGAAGAGTCTGAATGGCCTTGGTGTAAGAATTTTAGTGCTAAAAACAGCACCTAGAACAGGCATATAGGATAATCAGATGGTAGTTCTCCTTCACATTTCCAATAAGAAGAATCCTGTTTAGGCCTGAAATAAAACTTACTCTTTATCATTCGTAGACTTTATATGCAAGTCCGGACAGTGGCTGTGGAAGGATATGTCCAAGCTGTGGCTGGGCGTCCAGAGGGCGGTGCCATGCAACTGTAAGGATTTTAACTGGTAGCACTGCATGGCTGTGCATAGAGTCAGCACTTATAACACCCACCCCCACTCTGAACTTTTGGGCTCACTGACTGAAAATAAGCAAGGCTTTCTGCTTTGTCTACCTTTCAGCCTTGGAGTAGTTAGGTTCATTTGTGACTCCGGAGAGCAATAAGCCATTTTCCAAGAGTAAATAAAAATCATGATCTCTGATATACTGTGCCAGGTCCTTTGAACAAACTACCATTACAGCAGCAGCATCCACCAGCTGCATTGGTGGGATGTTCTAAATATGTTCAGTAGCCATATGTCCTGTTAAGGGCTTTCAGTGTGTCTAATTCCATGGAAGAACTAAGGCCAGAAGAAGGGCATCAGAGGGTTATCTCAGCATGGAGAGGCATTATAGCTCAAGGCCAACCCAAATTTTGTTTAGTTTTTGGTTTTTGGTATTGTGTGGTTTTGTGATCAGGGTCTCACTATGTAGCTACTGCTAGCCTGGACGGAACTCTATATGTAGCTCAGAGTGGCCTCAAGCTCATAGAAATGTACCTACTTGTGCCTCCAGAGTGTTGGGATTAAGGTATATGCCACCACACCCAGATCAAAAACTAATGTTTTTTATTTAAGTAGACACGTGTGGTTAGTGGCTACTTTTTTTAAACAACACAGTTTTAGAGTAAAAGCTAAGTAATACTATCAGTCCAGGATGGGTGGCAACTAAGGATGGAGATGGACTTCACACTATGCAGTTAAGGAGAATGAGTAAACTCATACTCAATAATTGAGCATAAGAATGCAGTCGTGACTTCATAATTGTGTCCTAGGGTCTGGAGGTACAGTTCAGTGGTAAAGTATTTGCCTACCATGAGCATGAGTTGCTTGCCCAGCACCACAAAAAATAATTACTGTGCTAATTGGGGGAGTGGCAAGACAAGCCCTTGGGATTGCTTTCACCTGCCTGTGTTAAGTGTCTTAATATTAAGAGCCTTTCTCCTCAAATTGGAATCATTTTAAGATTTTATGCCAAAAAGTTAATGATAATGTCTCAACATCTTTTTCAGAGCTCTTAATTTAGGGAAAGCATATATGCATAAGCATTTTTATATGCCTGTGCCATTAGTGTGTGATGGAAGTGGATTGTGTGCAAGAACACCATTTTCATTCAGATTGACTGGCTTTATGGAAGAACAGAATTGCTAGGGCCCTGGCTGTGTTCGAGGGTATATTGTCTTCTTTTCCTTTGAAGAAATCTCTCTGAGGTGTGATCTTCAGAGTCTTTTGGAGAAACTAATTATTGAAAATCTCTAGTATGTCCTTGTTCTCTGTCTGGTCCTTTGTGGTTAATAGTTTATTTGTTTCCATTTTAACATGAATTTGGCTGACTATGAAGAAACATTTGAATTGTGTGTTTAAAGCCATTTTTCTGGCTTAAGGAAACTGTTTGCAAGGGGAAATGTAGAATTTACAGATTTTTAAGAAATGTAAGAAAAGGAATGTTGATTTATGTTTTTTTTTTATTTGCATCTTAAGGTAAAAAAATAAAAATAAAAAGGACCGTCTGGAGATAGATACTCAAAGGGAAACTGGAGCACACTGGCCTCTTTGACTGAGAAGCCAATCTTGTCTTAAGTCTCAAGAATTCAAGTGAACTTGTAATTTAAGTTTACCCAGAATGTGATGCCCTTCCAATGGTGTGTGAGTAAGCCTTTGAAAACAGTGTAGTCTCTTGGGCAGGTATGGATGAAGGCATGTCATTGTCAAACTGTAGCTAAGCAGCAGCAAGTTTACAGCTGCTACTGTGACTTGAGTAACCACATTAGTAAAGTTATCTGTGCCAGTGCCAATGTTGTAGACCGTACTGAAGCTTCTTAGAGCTTTTGTTCTGGATCAGAATTCTGCTTTTATGCATATTTTGAGGTAAATAAAGTCTTTTGGTTTGGGATCCTTATGTTACCCACAACAGGCTTACACCCTCCACACCAAATGTCTCACTTGCCTCTTTTGTCCTACACTTTAAATTGGCAGGTCCCACTGAATTGCTTTTTTGATCTCAATCCTCTAACACCTTTTCTTCCAGAAGAGCTTAAAGCAGCGCCTGGGTAAGAGTAACATCCAGGCACGTTTAGGCCGACCCATAGGTACCCTGGCCAGGGGAGCGATTGGAGGAAGAAGCCTACCCATAATCCAGAGAGGCTTGCCCCGAGGAGGACTACGTGGGGGACGTTCCACCAGGTCCCTGCTTAGGGGCGGGATATCGCTCCGAGGTCAGTGTTTGCGTGTAACTGATAGTGGTTGGGCTCTATCCTTTTCCCCTTTCACTTGGGCTGCTTATGGTCATATTTATTTGGCATCTTTAATCCTAAATTTGTATTAATCTAATTAATAACTTTTGAAGTCACATTTTTAGTACTGTTGCATGTGTTTTATTGATATCATTCCTTTTCTGGTAATATGCAATGGTGAGAGGCTATGACCTACATAGCAACAGGTAATCCATGTCATCTCCATTCCATTTGAAAACACCTGCTGCTGCTTGAGTCAAAGCACATTCAAGTTCTGGAGTAAGTCTAAGAAATGTGTGGTTAGCATGTGCGAGGCCCTGGGTTGAATATCCTCAATACCAAGTGAAAAAAAATTATGGGTCTTTTGGCCTGTGTCGTGACTAACCAACCGTCTTCCTTCCTGAAGTGAAAAACTATTAATCTGAAAGAGAGGGGACAGTTTGATCCGTAGTGCCTACCTATCTGTATCATACTCTTTGGACACTGTTACCTGTTCCCTTTATAAAGTTCTTATCCCTTCAATAATGTATTAAAAACAGAAATTGTAGCATTTATTTTTAAATCTACCATAATGTTAGGCATCTGATTGTTAGCTTATTAATGTATGAACTTACTTAAGTCCCCGCTTTTTCCAAAGATGGCTGTGGTCAGAATTACTGAATTGAATAAGCTGTTTAATCTGTTCACACACACTGTGCAGTTTGCCCCACCCAGACTAAGCATTAACTAATTAATCTTATTTAACCCTCACCGCCTTCCTTTGGTTAGAATCTACTTTGTCTCTCTTGGATTTACCTGCATATACATTGTATGCCTCCTCTCCAAGGTCAAAACCTGCTCCGAGGTGGACGAGCCGTAGCTCCCCGAATGGGCTTAAGAAGAGGTGGTGTTCGAGGTCGTGGAGGTCCTGGGAGAGGGGGCCTAGGGCGTGGAGCTATGGGTCGTGGCGGAATCGGTGGTAGAGGTTAGTCAGCTACCAACTTCAGAGAGTAGCTCCCCTTATTTTCCTCCCTTCAAAACTCAGAGCCACCTTTCTGCACAGCTTCAAGTCATAGACAGGCTTGTTTGTTTGTCTTGTTTGTTTTTAGAAACCCTGGCTTGTTTTCTAAATTTACATGCTGATAATGCAAAGTCTGTTAGGACTAGAGGTCAGGTACATTTGCCAGAGCCACGTTTTAGGCATTCTTCTCCCGGTTTTTAGAAATTTAAATTGTTCTATTCAAATGATGCAATGATTAATTTGGAATTTTGCCTTTTTCTGTATCTACCTGCTGTTGTCACCACCATCACCATTGCACCCCCATTCCATAGCCTAAAGCCAGTTTAACTTAGATAAGAGAAGTAGAACTGAGATGAAATGCAGTGTAGAGCATTTAGCTAGCGTATGTGAGGCATTGGGTTCAGTCTTACACCATAGAAACAAAACAAGAGGGAGATAAACAGAGGTGAAGGATGGAGCTCAGTGGTATAGCACATGCTTAGCTTACATGAGACTCTAGATCCAATCCAGCAGCACTGTGAGGTAGTGGGATGAGACCTGGCACCTGTTATTGACTCTGAAACCAAGTAAATTAAACATAGGATTTATGAAGAACCAAGATCAAGGTTGAAAGTAAGATGTGTTACTACCAATTAGCCAGCTGACTGTTGTTAGTAATCTTACCTTGCTGCCTTGATTCTTGTCTTGTGATCTCATGGGTCAGATTAGGAAAGAGTTTAATGATGGTGGTGTCCGTACCAAATTTCATGGGAGCTTTTCTGGCCTAGAGCTTAGTAAGAAACTCCCAACAACTGTTGATAGGTTAAGCATCTTATTCTAGTAAGCTCTATGAATAATTGTTCTTGTTTTTTCTAAAGTGTGGGACAGGTCTTTATAATCCATAACATTGATGGTGCTGAAGAATAACTTAGAAAAGAACATGTGATAACAAAGGTTTATTTTCTTCTCTGCCATTATATGTCACTTGGCTTATTGAATGAAGTACAAACTTGTGTGGGTTTCAGGATTTCCATATTTCCAAGACAATTTCCAAGTTGTCTTGACATGGTTTCTGGGAGAGAGTTCAAAGGTTGGAAAGACTAAATAAAGTTGATTTTGAGAAAGCTGAATGTTTGTTTAGTGAATTGAAATAATTTCTCAGATGATAGTTGTCCTAAGGTGACCAACCAGTCAGAGAAGTAGCAGCTAAGTTTTTTCTCTAGAATAATTTTTCAGTCTTTGGATACATGGAGTCTCTTCATTAGACTTAATAAATTTAGAACAGATGAGATAATACTCCAGACGGTTAATATAAATACCCTTGATTCTCTGTGCCCTTTTTACTGCCTCCTTACTAACTAGGATTATGTTAAAACACTATGTAATGTGTTTTAATTATGAACTTACAGCAAGTCCCAAACTTTAGGTAATTCTTTATCTTGGGAATCTTTGTTAATATTGCTTAATATTTTTCAGCTAATATTATACACCTATAATCCCAGCAACTGCGAGGCTCTTATTTTGTTTTTGAGACAGGGTTTCCTGTAGCCCTGGCTGGCCTTGAACTTCTGATTCTCCTGTTTTTGCCTCTCAGATGCTAGAATTACAGGTGTTTATTATGTGGTGCTGAGGATTGAACCCAGGGCTTCGTCCATACTAGACAAGCACCCTACCGACTGAGCTACACTCCTGCCCAGGAGTGCAAGTTTAAGGCTAGCCGGTCTGCATGGCAAGACCCTGTCTCAAAGATTTTTTTTCTTTTAGTAGCATTTAGAGATGAATACTTAAGAGGGACTCATTGTGTGTGCTTTCCATGTATTGCTTTCTACCCAGTGTGTTTCTTGTTTTTCCAGATTTCTCCTCTTTGCCCTGTCCTTGAGCTTGTCTCAGCTAGGCTCCCAAATGGGGTACTTTTTCTAGGACCCATCAAACCTATGTCTAACTGTCTTCTTTCTTTCTTTCTTTTTCATTTGACCAGGTCGGGGTATGATAGGTCGGGGAAGAGGGGGCTTTGGAGGCAGAGGCCGAGGTCGTGGCCGAGGGAGAGGTGCCCTCACTCGCCCTGTACTGACCAAGGAGCAGCTGGACAACCAATTGGATGCCTACATGTCGAAAACTAAAGGACACCTGGATGCTGAGTTGGATGCCTACATGGCACAGACAGATCCTGAAACTAATGATTGAAGCCTGCCTGCCTGCCCGCCTGTTAGACTCTTGTTAAAGTCACCACATCTATAAAAAGAAAAAAAAATAATCTTGAGAAAACATGAGAAGAAACCTGATTGATGCTGGAAGGACCTATCACAATAGGCTGTGGACTTACCTGCCACCAGTTGGCACATTTAGTCTGTTCCGTCTACTTTTTGATACTGTGTTATATGAAACCCTATTTTCCTTTGATTTGGTTGAGTTTGTTTTGTTGTTTATCCAGTCACCCAGACTTCTGTTTGAACAGGAATGCATTGGCCTTGTGAGTGAACATTTTTCCAGCCTCTGCCTCACCTGTCATATACTCTGACATTTTAATATTTCCTTTGTTCATCTTTATGATCCCAAAAAAGGTCCCCAGAAGGATCCTGTGTTGTCAATAATGTGTGGTCACTGGGATAGAGTTCTACATCTTCTTTAAAGACTTCCTGTTAATAACTAAAACTAAAGGTGTGTCTGCTCTGTTGTTGGTGAAGGTAGTAAATTGGAAATGCTGGTATTGCTTCTGGGCCAGGAATGGCTTGTACATGGTAGTGACTTTGATTTGGTCAAAGTTGGTGCTGCCTACATTGATATTACATAAATGGTAGCTGACATGCTGAGTTAGATATGTACAATTCCCACCCTAAAATAAGAGTTTGTTAAGCTTTCCTTTTGGTTTTGTGTCATGTCCAAGAGGCTTGTGCTCATCCAGTACAGAAAAAGCCATTTGGTGTGGCAGAAGAAACAAGGGTGGGAGACTGTTTACAAACTAACTGCTGGGAAGGGGTCATTTGCTGCTCATGCTGAAATGCAGTTACTTGTGTGTGTCCCAACCAATCTTGGTCTAATCCACATAACTGGCTTTATTTGACCCTCCTGAAGGTTTAAGTTCAACCATATTTTGTCAGCTGTTCAGTTTCAGTGGAATCTTGTATTTTTGGTCATTATAACAAATTGTTCTCTCAAATTCAACCCAGGCTTTCTGTTTATTCTTTGGGTTCCTTAAAATATTGTATAACCATTTTTTTGTGGTGTGTTACTATGTCCCTTTTATAGTTGAAAGTTGTCAAGATAAAATTCTGGGGGTGGCACACACCTTTAATCCCAACACTCCTGAGGCAGAGGCAGGAGGATTTCTCTGAGTTCTAGGACAGCCAGGGCTATACAAACACTGTCTCAAAAACAAACAATGGGGGGAGGGGTATATGGCTTTGTAGAAAGTAAAAAACTCTTGTACTTTTGATTAAGCTCTTAGGAAGAATTACCCACCTAGAAGGTACTGGTGTATTGGCCCATGGTATTGTTTCTTTTTTCTGTTTAAGAGAAAAGATCACAGCCTGCTAACTGGTGTGCATTAAGAGTCAAGAAGGAAATAATTGAACACAATCATCTGAACAGAAATCCTTACTTGCTTGAGGTGGAGAGTCTGAAAGACCCAGGAGAGATAAACTTTGGGGTGTTACAAACTGGTGCTCGGGTAGATCTCAGCAAAGGAGAATGACCCTAGATCCCCTTCCTACCTCCTGCAACTCCTTCCTACCTACCTACCTCATGAAAAAGTTCAATTCCCTACCAGCCTTAGGCCCTTCAGCTCACCTGCTGTGTACAGTTCTCAGTGTCTCTCCTATGACCTGTTTCCACCACTTCCGTCCTCCTTTCATGGTAATGCCCCAGGTGAACCTGAGAGCAAACCCGAGTCCTGATCAGCCTTTGAAACCTACTCAGTTGTCATCTACTGAGGGCTTGCCTTCCAGAATCAAACAAGGCCTCATTGTGTCACAGAAGTACATAGGTGCCTAAAGAGATTTGACTTGCTGGGGCTTGACTGAAATTTGAAGCTGAGGAAAGTTTAAAGATAGGTGGGAAGAGCCAAGACAAGGTCAAAAGGGTTGTTTGTAATCCAAGCACTCTGGAGACTGAGGCAAGAAGACATACAAGTTGAGCTAATGTCAGATGTTGGTGGCGCATGCCTTTAGCCCCAGCACTGGGGAGGCAGAGGCAGGCAGATCTCCAAGTTCAAGACCAGCCTGGTCTATAAGAGCTAGTTCCAGGACAGTCTCTAAAGCCACAGAGAAACCCTACCTCGAAAATCGCCCCCCCCCACAAAAATAAGTTGAGGCTAGCCTGGGCTAAGTGTCAGAAAAAAATCTAGAAGAAAAGACAATATATACATTACGGCAAACAGAAACATGTTATGTATCTTGGAGCCATATGTGTGAGATTTCCATGTATACAAGTGTTCTGTCTGCATGTGTATGTTCCATGTATGCCTGCTGAAGATCAAAAGGAAGCCATCAAATCCCCCAGTAGAGTTACAGGTGGTTGTTAGCCACATTTAACTGTTGAAGCACTACACACACACACGCACGTTTAAATATTCACAGTCCTGGAGGGAGATGAGACTACAGGGACAAAATCCTAGCTACCCAGTTGCTATGGTAAGAACCCTAAGGGACCTCCTACCCTTGAGTGTCTTGGTACTTTTAGCACTAATGCCTGTTTTCCTGGCAACCAAGCCTCATTCAGACTGGCTCAGTATAAAGCAGGCCTAAGGAGGCAAGGGCTCTAAAATGCCTGTGACCTGGAGATGGCCACACCTGGGCTCTTGTCTCCTCTCTTCTGCCCAACTTAAGCCCCAGCTTTTCCACTATCCAAGGGTGCTTGAGCCTTATTTTCATTGCCTCAACCTTGTGTGCAAACATTGTCATTATGAGAATACTATTCTCAGAACTCTGGTCCCATACCTCCTCCCCATACCCAACACTACTCTATTAACTAGCAATCCACATCTAGATGTGTGATGTTCTGCTTCCTGTTTTGTGTTTTGGGATTGATGGTTTTGTTTTTCAAAACGAGGTTTCACTGTGCACCCCTGGCTGTCCTGGAACTCACTGTAGACCAGACTGGCCTCAAACCCAGAAATCTGCCTGCCTCTACCTCCTGGGATTAAAGGATTAAAGGGGGGCACCACCACCATCTGGTGATAAAATTAGTTCTTAATGATACAACATAAACTGACCTCAAACTCATGGTCCTGTCTTACCCTCCTAAATGTTGGGATTACAGACATGTGCTACCATGTCTTGTTTCTACAGTTCTTTAGTTAGGTATGCCAATGAGGAGTGGTCCTGGTACCTTCTGCTCACTATAGACAGCAGAGTGGGAAGGGATAAGGATGGAAGTCCCCACTTCTTGGGTAGACTCCAACCCCCTTCACAGTCTGGCTAGAATCAAGCATGCTGGCAATCCAGCCTGACCACATAGCTAAGGGGCATTGTAAGGATAGAGGGATATCATAAAGCAGACCAAAATGACACTAGGGAATGGAGGCAGGCCAAGGGCAACTGTGAGATCTGTGCTGATGGCAGCAAACAGATTCACTTGTTAGCTTTGACTTGGGTTTACCTTTTTAACCCTATCATCAGCTCAAAACAACATCCATGGGAAGGGGATACAATGGAAAAGCTTCCTGGAAGTGCAATGAGAAGGGTTCTCCCAAAATGCCCTGCAGTCTTAAATTCACTAGTACATTCTCTAAAGGGATGGGGAAAAAAAAAAAAAAAAAAAAAAAAGCTGAGAACAGATGAGGGAAGACCAAGGCCAGGACCATACCCTCATTTCTCATCCTGTGTGATTAGCAGGAATCCTGGCATCACCTGAGATTTCACCCAAGCAGATGGCAGCTCTCCAGGAATAACTCAGTAAGCAACTAGAGCCACAAGCTACCTGACTAGCTATGCTTAAGCCCCCCCCCCCCCGAGACAGGGTTTCTCTGTGGCTTTGGAGACTGTCCTTATAGACCAGGCTGGTCTCGAACTCACAGAGATCCACCTGCCTCTGCCTCCCGAGTGCTGGGATTAAAGCCGTGCACCACCAATGCCTGGTGTTATGCTTAAGCTTTTCCTGCAGACATTCTACAACACTTGCAGCTCCTCCACTGAAATGTAGGGCACCTTAAAGTTCTGGCCTCCTGGAAGGGCAAGCCCAGACTATCCCCTTCCATGTTCTTTGGACTTGACAAGAGACCAAAGGTGTCTTATGCTGAAGTCCTTAGGTAAAGTTAGGCATCATTCTTGAGCATTCCCCCTTCCACAAATGCACAATGTCTCATCCAGGAAAAGTACAGGATGTAGGTGGCCTCCAGGTAGGGACACTTTGTGTTACCTGAGCCAACACAAGTGTTCTGCAAAGCTTCCTTACACACCTACACTGAGGCAACCAAGACAGAAGGCTAATCAGCCTAGCCACTGTTGAAGGGGTGAGGAAGTGAAGTAAGAAGAGGAGCTTAAAGTATGCAGGGCCAGAGCCTCCAGGATGTACACAAAAGCTTGGAAGCCCTGGAATCCAACAGCACCAACCCAGCTGATTAGAAATCTAGGCAGAAGGGAGGGTTGACCATGAGAGCACAGCTAGATCAGCAGGGTAAACTGTGTATCAGCCTGCTTACAGGAGGTTCTGTGTGTCAGCTTACCTATGACATACAAAGAGGCAAAGACCTGTGGTGGTGGTCAATACCTCTGGACCTGACTGCAGGAGGCATCCCTGCTGTGACTGGGGAGGGGCACTGGGTTGAGGTTGTTAGGGAGCAGTGGGATTACCTAGCAGTCAAAAAGGAAGTGATTCCTCCTGATGGAGATGTTGGAAAGAGTAGGGAGATATCTGTCCAGGCTGAAGGTGGCTTGTTTAGGTAGGTCTGATACAGGGGATTCTTGAGTTAAAAGTTAAGAAGAAAATGAAATGTGACACTGAAGAACTGAGGCCCAAGTTGGAGGCTAAGAAGTCAAAGTCACCCAGGATCTAGCTCCTCCACCTCTTAGGACTCTTAAGAAGCTGCTGGCATTGTGACAGTTGATGGACAGTACCTAAGAGCCCTCTGCCTAAGTTTTGTGAATGCTTAGCAGCCACATTGATGGTAGACCATCATCACTGACATCCAGTCTGAGCACATACTGTTGTACCAGGTACTACTGCTTCACAGGTGTTGAACACCTTGCTCAAGCTCACCCCACCAGCCAGCACCCTGTAGTCTACACCCACCACGAAGATTTCAGAAGTAAAAAGGCTGATAAACCACAAATACCCGGTGCTGGACCACCATGGAGAAAACTAAATCAAAGACCCACAGGAAAGTGAGTTTTCAGAAGACCACAGGGTTATCAGGATGTAAGACGATCATGATCTCCGCATTTTCTTGTACAACTCTCCACTAATCCTGCCCTTTCCTTCCTTCCTTCTCTCCTGACTTCAGGCACCCTCTGCCCTTTTCATACTTTGTAAACATTTTGATACAGTTCTCTCTAAGAAAACTAAATAATTCAGGTGTGGTGGTGCAGGCCTTTCATCTCAGCACTTGGAAGGTAGAGGCAGGTGGATCTATGTGAGTTCAAGGCCCACCTGATCTACAAAGGGAGTTCCAGACTAGCCAGGAGTACACAGTGAAACCTTGTCTCAAACAAATAAAATATACCCTCACAATGCTGTATTAACTCTTTTTGTCTACTCAGTAAAAATAGTTCTAGGACTCTTGAACATTTCCTTTGCCCTCTGCAGAGAAGGCTGGCGAAACATTCAGGAGGAAATGCTGCTTTCTGGCTTTGGTGGCTTCTCCCACATCCAAGGTCCTGAAATGAAGAAGAGCCAATGACACCCAGTGTCCTCCAGGTGTTTTACTGCAGCATGCTAAGAGGATCATCTCCCATAAACCACTCTAGCAGGAACTCCAGAGGGCAGGATCCAGCACAGTCCACCAACATGGCATTACAGTGAGCTTGATCTATGCCCTCTTCAACAATATCTATACCTCAAACCAGGGACACAGGACCTTCTATCTGCTACTCTGCTTATCTGCTTTTCCCCTGTATGCTTGATCTCCATGAGTTCCAGGTCAACCAAGGCTACACAGTGAGACCTGCCTCAAAAACAAAACAAGAAATGTGTATGACTGGATCCACTTTAAGTATGTTTAAATACACAGTTCAGTAGCAGCAGTGCATAACTATGTATCTTCCCAAGATGGGACACTTTACCCATCGAGCAATCCCATTCTTCACTCCTCTCAATCCAGTTGTACTTTTGTTGATTCTCAATGCAGGCAATCTAACCTGGAGCCTCTGGCATGCTATACTCTGAGTGCCTTCACACGGAGATACACCTTCAGCCCCATCCTACATTTTTATCTCCATGAATTTGGTCACTCATATAAGTGAAACCATGTGATATTTATCCTTTGGAGGCCAGGTTATTTTGTGTAGCACAAATATTTTGTGTTCCTAAGGAGTTGGATGTTGGTGGCACACACCTTTGACCCCAGCACTCAGGAGGCAGAGGCAGGCAAATCTCTGTGAGTCTGAGGCCAGCCTGGTCTACAAAGTGAGTTCCAGTGCAGGCTCCAAAGCTACACAGAGACACCCGTCTCCAAAAAAAAAAAAAAAAAACCTAGCCTGTATCCAGATTTGATTTGATTCTTAAATCCATTCCTTTTTAAGGCACATACCAGCAAATGTGCATATTTGATGCCATTAAAAATATTCTTGATAGGGGAGGTTGATGAGATGCTCAGTGGTTAAGAGTTCATAAGGTCCCCAGATGGGTTCCCACATCAGGACACTCACAACCACCTGTTAACTCCAGCTCTAAGGGATCCAACACCTCTAGCTCCAGGGAATCGCATGCTTCTGACCTCCAAGTGTACCTGCAGTCATGTGCACCCACAGACACACATGCACACACACATACACATAGTTTTAAAGTAATAATTTTAAAAACACCATTTAGGGGCTGAAGGGGTGGCTCAGTAGTTAAGAGCACATAATGCAGCCAGGCGTTGGTGGCACATGCCTTTAATCCCAGCACTCGGGAGGCAGAGGCAGGCAGATCTCTGTGAGTTCGAGACCAGCCTGGTCTACAAGAGCTAGTTCCAGGATAGGCTCCAAAGCCACAGAGAAACCCTGTCTCGGAAAAAAAAAAAAAAAAAAAAAGCACATACTGCTTTTCCATGGACCTTGTCAAACAGCTTACAACTGCCTGTAACTCCAACACTTCTGATCTCATTGCAATCATGTATACACATAAACACACCCAAAGCAGGGCAACAAAATGATTCCGAAAGTTAAGGTGCCAAATCTGAAGCTTCGAGTTCAATGCCAGGAACCCACATGCTGGAAGGAGAGAACTGAGCTCTCACAAGTTGTCCTCTGACCTCTACACACATGCCATGGCACAGGTATCTACATACATACACATAAATACACAGGAAATAAAATTGAAAAACAAATTGGAAACTTCTTAGGATCCAGAACTGGTGCAAGTCTGTACCTGAACCAGGAGGATCACATATTAAAGGCATGCATGGAACTACAAGCAAATTCAAGCCCACTCTTTAGTGAAACCTCATCTCAAAAGTAAAGTGGGGGGAGGAAGAGGTAGGGAGAAAGGTATTAGGGGGATATAGCTCAGCAGAGCATTTGTCTAGCAATCACAAGGACCTGGGTTCAAACCCAGGGATCCTGCCCTGCTCCCCCCAAAAAAAGCATTAAAAAAATTTAAAACCTGTTATGGTGGCACAAGCCTGTAACTCCAGCCCTAGAGAGAGAGAAACAGAAAGATTGTGAGCTCAAGGCTAGCCTGGGCTACATGGCATAATAATACAATTTTTAGAAATACAAAATTCACCAGACGGTGGTGGTGCAAGTCTTTGATCCCAGCACTCAGGAAGCAGAAGCAGGCAGAACTCTTGAGTTCAAGGCTAGGTTAATCTCAGTGAGTTCGAGGCCAGCCTGGTATACATAAGTACCAAATCAGCCAGGGCAATGTAGAGAGACCCTGTCTCTAAAAATAAAATAAAATTTAAAAATATCCGATCCAAAAACATGGTTCCTTCGAGCTCCTGACGTCTGGATCCCGCCCACTTCAGGCCCACGAAAGAACTATAATTTCCAGGGGGCTCTAGACCCGGCCATGCTCGCCCCCTGCTCTCCGAGGACTCCATTTCCCAGCTATCCACTGCCGTGCGGACACCTAAGCGCCCCCTCGCGGCGCACAGCGGCGCGCCGTAGTTCCCGGCGGCCCTCGCGGCGGGGCGGCGGCGGCC